TACTTATCTTGATCAGCTTGTATTCCTCCCTCATTAATTTGAAGTCCGTGGTTAACCATCATAGGAGTGACAGCCGGTTTGCAATCCATTAATCCAGTTTCAACTAAAAGATCAAGGATATACTTCTTTTGACAAATAAAGATCTCCTCTTGAGATTTGAGAACTTCAATGCCAAGGAAAAAATTAAGTTCTCCAAGATCTTTCATGTCGAATTCCTGGAATAACTTGCCCTTCAATATAGCCATCTCTTCTATGTCACTGCCAGTAATTATCATGTCATCCACATAGATGATCAAACATGTTATAAGCTTGCCTCGTCTTTTAAGAAACAAGGTATGATCAGAGTTACTTTGACGATATCCATATTTCTTCATGGCTATCGTAAATCTACCAAACCATGCGCGTGGAGATTGTTTCAGACCATATAAAGCTTTTCGCAATCTACAACCTTCGCCTTCTCTGAAATTCGACGAGAACCCAGGTGGTGCTTCCATGTAAACCTCATCTTTTAGCTCTCCATGGAGAAAAGCATTTTTCACATCAAACTGATATAAGGGCCAATCTAGATTAGCTGCTACGGAGAATAATACTCGGATAGTATCAATTTTAGCTACTGGTGAGAAAGTCTCAGAGTAGTCAATACCATAAGTTTGAGTATATCCTTTAGCTACCAATCTGGCCTTATATCTCTCGATTGTTCCATCTGCTTTGTGTTTGACTGTAAATACCCATCGGCATCCGACTGGTTTCTTTCCCGGGCAGAGTTGACATTTTTCCCATGTGTTGTTTTTCTCTAGTGCCTTCATCTCCTCCTCCATTGCTTTTCTCCATTCTGGTATTCGTATGGCTTCATCCACTGTTCTAGGGACTTCATGGCTGGATGTGTGAAGTGCCTGTGATACACTCCCCCTGACTAGATCAGCAACAGGATATCTTGAGTTCCGAGGTATGTATTCTGGTTCATATCTGACAGGAGGAATTCCCCGATTCTTCCGTGGTGGGAGAACATATCTGTTTGATATATTCAATTCTTCCACGGTATCATTAGATTTATCAATGCAATCATCAGGAGTGGGGGAAATACTAACCTCAGGAGTCTTTTCAGACGGAGTAGAATCAGACATGAGTTCAGAGTTGTTGGACTGTTCAATGTTCTCAAAAGATGATCTCACGGAGTAACTTACTTCCTCGGTTGGGACAGTCTCAGGTGGCAAGACTGGGCTGTGTAACCACTCTAGAGAGTCATTCGTGATTTTCTCCCCCTGACTACTAGAATGGTTTTGGAAATAGTACTCAGTTTCCAAAAAATTACAATCCATTGTCGTGTATATCCGACGAGAAATAGGATCATAACACCTGTATCCCTTTTTGTGAACCCCATACCCAACAAAGACACATCGGACATCACAAGGATCAAATTTTGTTCGTTTGGCTTTTGGAATATGTACATATACAGTGCAACCAAACACACGAGGAGTGAGGGTTAAGAAGGTAGGAACAGTGGAAAATTTTGCGAGTGTATCAATGGGTGTTTTAATGTTTAGGATTTTTGTTGGAAGGCGATTTATGAGGTAAATGGTGGTTGCAATTGCTTCGGGCCAGTAATAAATCGGAACATTTGACTCAATCATAAGAGCCCTAGTGATTTCGAGTATGATCCGATTCTTACGTTCAGCAACGCCATTTTGTTG